CCCTGTAAATGTTCATTAAAACTAATAAAATTTAATAATAAAAAAAATGAACACAAAATGATACAATATTATCTCTTTGCTTAGTAATTTGTAAAAAAAAAAATAATACAGCAAGGTGTCTTAATTTCTTTTCCCCTTGTTGTGTACTGTCGAATCAAAACCGACTGGCACAGGAGACTGACTCTCCTTCTCCAGAGGAGCACCTTGTGGATTCGAACCCCGTGCCTTCGGCATTGCAATGCAGCTTCTTGCCACTAGGCCAAGAGAGCTCCCTAAAGTGTCTTAATTTTTAAGACTAGAAAAGAATTTGTTGACAATGTAAGTTAGAAAGGTATGCAAATAATTTATCATGAGCATAAATTTTGAGATAAATCAATCATCTCAACTGGCTTTAAATCACTTTAAAAAATGTGTTAAAAATAAAATAAATGTGCTGAGAGAACCTCCAATTATAAATTACAGAATTCCTAGTCAGCCCTGCTAAACAAATGAAATAAAATTCTTGGAAATTTGAAAAGCAAATGTCACCTGGCTTGGTAGATTATACAGCTTGGACTTAATGTTTAAAGGAGCCATGACAGTTTAGTGCGCATATCTTGGGCTGCTAATGGAAAGGTTAACGCTTTGAATCTACCAACTGCTCCTCATACTGTCTTTTGTAAAGATTTACAGAATCAGAAACCAGATGGAGGGTCACTATGAGTCAAAACTGACTGATGGCAGTGGGTTTCATAGTTATTCCAGCAAGCCCAAATAAATCAACCAGGAATGAATTAATAATTGGGAAAGAGAGCGAAAGTTCATCTTTGGCCAGCAGAATGCTCAACTTAATTCCTGATCCCATATGAAAATAGAAAGTAGAAGGAATATACTTATAAAGAGTTTTATTATAAGTTTGTTTCTCCATCATCAAAAGATAAGCATTCCTCAAAGAAGTGCAGTAAACCATTCTGTATTAGAAAAATCTGTGTAAAAAGCTAATTAGGTAACAGGACAAAGTTAATGCCTTGGTGTGGCACACTTATCAGTAGTCAGTTACATTAAGTAACTCTATAAAGAGAATTATGAGAGTACAGATTTAAGTGTAGTTTTGCTTGGCAGCTTTGACTATTTTATGCCCAGGTGGCTGGGTTGTTTGCTTAACCACAAAGAAGCCGTTATCAGTTATAATTACATCTACACAGATATTTTCAAACAAATACCTTATAACCTAGATCTGTATCCACTGCTACTCAACAAAGTAAGTCACTTAACAAGGTTAAGATGGTAAAATCTTAGAACCATTTAATTAGGTATTGACTCTTTATCAACAGAAGCAGAAAAAAAATAGCATCAAAACTTTAACGATCTATGGAAATGAGTTGATGAGTAGAAAGATATTAAACTCAGAAAAGGAAAATTTGGAGGGCAAAAACCCTAAAAATGTTTTGTTAATCCATTGTACGCAAGGGAGCTTTGGTGGCCTGGTGACAAGAAGGTGCACTGCAATACCAAAGGCCTGAGGTTCGAGTCCACCAGCTGCTCTGCTGGAGCAGATTGGACAATCTCCTTCTGTGTGATTAACTGTCTCTGAAAACCGGCTAGAAGGGTCAGCTACGGGTCGGTTCCGACTCAATGGTACACACCAACTATCATTGTATGTAAGATTCATTACAGCGCTGTGCTCCCCTACTTAAGGGATATTCACTACACAACCAGCAGCACAAAAGTGTATGTGCGCGCGCGCGAAGACACAGCAAATCAGAAGCGACTCACAGCTGAGCCACCAGCGCGTTTTCAGAGGATGTAAATTGCACGAGTGAAGAATGTCCATTTTTCTTCCACTGAGCAGCTGGTAGATTCGAACTGCCTGCTTCCTGGGTCATTAGAGCAGCACAAAAAACCAGCGTGAACTTTGGCGTGTCTGGTTTTTGTGTTTTGTTTTGTTTTTAATAAATGCTCACAGAAATCCTCTAAATAGCATAACTTGAAGACCGTCTGATTAATTTTGAAATTTTGAGCAATTCAGAAATGTCTTCTGAGCGTTACAATACAGAAAACCATTCAACTATTAAAACAAATAACCCGCCCCCCTAAAACCAAGATGGCATTCGGGATCTAAGGCGCCTCACGGCCTCGCCTGCACTTTCCCCGTCTGTAACGGGAAGCTGCACTTGGGATAGAATCTAGAATGGTCTGGGCCACCGGTTCCGAAGGGACTATCTTTGTCGCAGAATCTGTAATGTCCAGAGATACTCAGTCACGCTCCAGAAGACTTCGTGTGTTCTAACACGCCTCGCGGGGCCCCGGGATAGACACCGGGTGCAGGGAGAGCCGCTTCCAGCCCTGCGCCCCACTCCCCGCCGCACCCTCAACTACCTCCGGGCTCCCGTGGGAGGCGAACTAGGGGGCGCGGCGGAGGCTCGCCCCACCGCCCACCGGAAGACCGTGGTCTCCGAGTCGGCCAGGCGGCACGACCAGCAGCGGGGACCGGCCGGCCAGGCGCCGACTCCGCAGCCCAGCTGGGCTGCCAACACAAAAGTGGAACCCCATGCAGCGGAGAGGTTCTGAAGCCCGGCTCTGCGGAGGCAAACGACTCAGGTCTTACCATGGCTCAGACAGCGAATCTTTCGGCAACTCTTTTGCGCGGAAGGAGAAGGGCGTGGCGGACCGAAGAGGGTTTGATTTTGGCGCCGATACCGCCCAGGATGCGGAAGGGAAGCGAGAAGGGGAGGCGGAAGAAGGCAATTCATGGAGACGGCACGCAGCGGCCCCTGGCGGCTAAGCGTAGTGACTGACCTGGACAGGGCTGGAACCCCCGGGGGAGCGGGGCGGGGCCGAGCTAGTGCCGGGGTGGGGGAGTGGAAGGAGTGGGCGTGACCGAGGCGCCATGGGGTGGGCGGGGCAGAATAGAGGGGCGGGGCTATGTTGAGGGTGTGGTTTGCGACCCGTGCCTGCAGACTGGATCTGGGACTCCAGAGGTTTGGCCTTCTCTCACAGGCAGTGTGTGTGGCTAGCGACTTGAGAGTCACAGGAACAAGGACTCAGAGTTGCCATTGCCTCTTGTTACCTATGTGTCTATTTTTTAGCAAAAGCCATGTTATGGTTGTTAGGTACCATCCAGTGTAGTATACGACTCAGCTCTGAACCCTGTCCTATCCTGCGCCTTCCTTGTCATCTGTGACACAACATTGTGTCAATACATCTCGTCTTGGCGCTCTGGAACACCCCCTAAATTTGCCTCAACACAGAGGTGGTTTGTCTGCCGAGGAAGGAAACACTGACTCACAAGCCATTTGGATTGGCCCATTTCGATCTGGGCTCCTTGGTTCCCATTCTTCCCTCATCTTTTCAACCACTGCTACTTTTCCAACTTTTAAAAAACCCTCACTTGTGCACCTTTCACTTGGTGTTTTGTTGTTGTGTCATTTTAATAGCAGTTATTTTCAAATAAAAATTATTGTTGTTAAGTGCCGTCAAGTCACCCGAGACTCATATCTACTCATACAGCAGCTCTGAAACCTGCACTCTTCTGAGCCAGTCTTACTGACTCCGACACACCTACGCCCAATGCCCCAGTATCATTCCATCTCATCTAAGATCAAGGTGCCTGGCTTTGGCTCTGGGAACAGCAAATGTAGCTCACCTCTGTCTCACAATGGTCTTTGCTTCTCTACTGCCTTTCCTGCTGCCGTCATAATATCTTTGCTTTCTTCCTTCTTCTCTGTTCCGGGTAGGGAGAGATCAACAGATGCATACTAGACACTAACACTACTTGCATGCTTTTGAGACCTCAGCCACTACTCAACAAAGCAGGCTAGAACAGTGTCTTTGTGAACCAAGTTAACTGGTTGCTGATCCTGGGGCCTCAGAACTATAGTCTTGGGGGACATCAAGGTCCGTTGATGTATTCCTAATTTATTCTGCTAAGATTAGTAGCAGACCAATTAGAAAAAAATGCTTATAACATTGTCCTGAATATAACATTGAGTCAATATTGTTCCTAAATGCATGATTTGCTGTGTAACTTCATGATGTCCAAAATCTGTAGTCCCTCCTTTGTTCAGTTCTTTCACTCCTCAATGTCTCTTCGGTTCAGTGGTTTGCTGGAAGGTCTCCCAGAGATTCAGACCCATCAGGGGAATGACTCATGTGATTGCAGGTATGCAGGCTGTTTTTGCAGATACTGGTGAGCGTTGCAGACCACCAGTCGCAGTGTAGCTGGAAAGGCAGATGTCTTGTGAAGAGAGAGCTAGCACTGAGATCTCAAGAGCTTATATAAGTCTCTAGTAGAATGGGGCTTGTATCTCACCCCAGTCCTTCCTCCTTAATACTAAATACTTCAGCACAAAATAAAGTTCATCATTAGCTAGGAAAGACATTTTGAATGATAAATCTTTAACACCACAGAATTGATGTAACATGGTTCACAAAGACACTGTTCTATATAGCCTGCTTGATTGAGTAGTGGCTGAGGTCTTAAAAGCACGTTAGTAGTGTCTAGTATGAATCTGTTGACCTCTCCCTACCCGGAACAGAGAAGAAGGAAGAAAGCAAAGATATTTTCACAGCAGCAGGATAGACAGTAGAGAAGCAAAGACCATTCTGAGATACAACTGAGCTACATTTGCTGTTCCCAGAGCCAAAACCAGGCACCTTGGTTTGGCTTACTAGCTGAGTTGAGGGTGAAGAAGCAGGAGAGCTTAATTAGCCCAGCTTAAACAGCTTTGTAATATTTGCCCTTTGGTGTGGCAGGACCCAAAGCACAAGGGTCAGAGACCTCACTGCAAGCACTATTGAGGAGGTGCTGTCCTGACTGAAGAATTGTACTGTGAGGCATTCTAGCCTAAATTGTAACATGTTACTTCCCTCATTAATCCCATAGACATGGCAGGGGATATCTATGAGGTAGTCAAGAATATCATCTGGTTATCAATTGGGAATAATTAGATAAGTCACTGGTCCCCTGGCATTGCGCATTACTAAGGATTGTATTACTAACTGAAATGTTGGCTGTTCATACCCATCTTGAGATGTTTTGGAAATAAGGCCAGAATATTAACCCTGAATGGTCACAGCCTTGAAAGCCATATGGAGCAGTTCTACTCTGTACCTATAGAGTTGCTATGAGTTGGAATCAATTTGTGGACAACTAACAACAACAGAGTTTGGTGGCCCAGTGGTAAGGAGCTGCCCTGCCAATCCGACACATGATTTGGATTTAACAGTTGCTCTTCAGGAGAAAAATGGGCAGTCTTCTCCCATGTAATTTACAGCCTCTGAAAACTGGCTAGAAGGTCAATTATGAATCAGTTCTGATTCAATGACTCATAGCAATAACAGATTTTGAAAATAAATTGAAAATCTGAAGAATATCCCTAAAATTCTAATTCTTTTCACTGAGTAATGCTTAATCATTCATTTAGTGTTTTCTGCAATTCATAAATTACATCTTATGTATCATCTAACTGTATTGAGATACTCCCACATTCTGAAGTTTTATGAAAGTAAATATTTACAACATCTGAGAACACTTAGGAATTTGCATAATGCAATCAGCATGTAGCATTTTTTATAGTACCCAAATGGTATTTGTTTGTTGAATAAATTTACCCTTAAAAGATCCTTTTACATACATCACTATCCTTTTTTGTTTGAGTGGCTACTGCTGGACAGAGGCCGCACCCTAGAGTTTCTGTTCTGATCGGTACTGTCCTTCAATATGGGAAGTAGGTGCTCTTGCTCTAAATCTTGCTCATTTGGTGGCCATTTGGCCCTACTCCATTCATATCCTTCTTGAGTAAGGAATCTTCTGGGTAAGAGAACAGGCCTGTTACTCACCACATCCATTCTAGTAGAGACCAGGGAGGCCAAATGCCCTGCTTGTCTTAGTTTGAATTACAACAAAACAAAACAAAATAAAAATAACAACAAAAACCAATACCTGTGACTAAGACATTAGTTCTAGTAATTTATTGTGAAGACAATCTCAGGAAGTAAGAATGAGAAATAGTGGTAAGAACGAGACAGGAAAGGATGAAAAGCCATTAATAGTGTGCCATTGAGGGTGTTACTGAACATAGCAAGTTCCACTGGAACCACTGAAGAGCTTCCAGGCATTTTCTGTTTGCAGAATGTGAGAGTGAGCCTTTATCTTGCCTCTCTCAAATCCCCACCACTAGTCTGTCACTTATTGTACTGTGGTGGCTTTAATTTCACTGTGATGCAGGAAGCTATACTACCCATATTGCAAATACCAACAGAGTCACCCACCAAGGACAAGTTTCAGCAGCGCTTCTAGACCAAGACAAACAGGAAGCAGGACTAGTCATCCGCTTATGAATATTGGGTCCTCAGAAATGCTAAGCAATAGCAAAGAAACATGATCTGATATAGTGTCAAAAGATGAGCCGCTGAGGTTGGAAGACTCGTAATAACAACTGGGGGAAAGCTACCACCTCAAAGTAGAGGAGAACTGTTTTAATGACTTGAAGGAGAAGCATTTTCACCCAATGAAGAACCTTCATTTGCTGATATGGTACAACTCAAAATGGGACCACAAAGTTGCAAGTAAGTGAATCTAGGAAAAATTAGAAGTTGCCAAAAATGAGATGGAATGAGTAAAGATTAATATTTTGGGCACCAGTGAGCTGTTGTTGACTGTTTTGAATCAAATAATTGCATGATCTACTATGCTAGCAATGACAAATTGACGTAAAATACTGTCACATTGATCATCAAAAAGAGCGTTTCAAGAGATCAATCCTGAAGTAAAGTGCTTTCAGGAATGTTGTTGTTATGTGTCAAGTCACTTGCAACTCATAGTAACCCTTGTGACTCATAGTAACTCTATGTACAAGAGCTCTGAACCCTGCTCTATCCTGAGCCAACTTTATTGTCTCTGACACACCTATCCCCATTACCCCAGTTACTGAGTCAATTAATCTCATCGAGGATCTTCATCTCTTGTGCTGTCCTTCTACCCTCTCAAGCATGATATCCCTCTCCAAGGACTGGTTCCTTCTTGCAATATGCCCAGAATCTTTGACTCAGCCTCGTTTCACCCTCTCCAGGACAAACCTGTTTGTTCTGCTAGCAATCCATGATATGTTCAATACTTTTCTCCAGCACCACAACTTCAAGGTATCAATTCTCCTATCATCCCTAATCATTGTCCAACTTCCTGACACATACATGCGAAGACTATGGCCTGGATCAGGTGCACCTTAGTCTCCAGACTGACATCATTGCTCTTCAGTACTCTGACAGCAGATTTGTCTTTTGATTTCCTCGCTCCTGGAACCAAGAGTGTTGATTGCAGAGCCAAGCAAACTGAAGCTATTAACAATCTCAGTCTCTACTATCACAATGCTGCCAATTGACCAAGTCATGAGAATCTTTGTTTTCTTGAGGAATAGGATAAAATTTATATGTATTCGAAGAAGACCTGTTAAAATTACTATTCTTGAAATGTACTCCCCTGCTAATAAAGCCAACGTTGACGATTTTTACCAACAGCTGTAGTCTGAAAAAGACCAAATATTCAGTCAAGA